CCTCCTCCTCCTCCTCCTCCTCCTCCTCCTCCTCCTCCTCCTCCGAAGCACAGAGGCCGAGTATTGTGGGCTCAGGATACGGCCGCTCTTCCCAGCTCCTCCTCCTCCTCCTCCTGGGCTGGGGTGTCCTTGGCATTTGGATTTGAAAAGGGGGTTGTCTGGACCCCCCTTTTCAGTGAACAGCTTAAACTGACTTCCTGTACCATGGAACATAGAGTAACAGCGTTGGAAGGGACCTTGGAGGTCTTCTAGTCCAACCCCCTGTTCAAGCAGGAGACCCCATACAATTTCCAGTCTCTTCCTAAAACCTTCCAGTGTCGGAGCATCCACACCTTCTGGAGGGAAGCCCTTCTTCCGCTGGTTAATGGTGCTCCCTTTGTCAGGAAATTCCTCCTGAGTGCCAGGCTGCTTCCCTCCCGGATGAGTTTCCACCCGTTGCTTCTTGCCCCGCCCTCCTCAGGGGCCCTGCAGAATAGCTGGACTGCCTCTTTTGGGGGGCAGCCCCTGAGATGCTGGAAGGCGGCTGTCATGGCCCCGCTAGTCCTTCTTCTCTTAGTTCCTCGTTCTTCCTCGGTTTCAGCCTCCAGGCCCTCAGGATCCTGGCTGCTCTTCCCTGCCCCCTTTCCAGAGTCTCCACATCTTTTGGACGTTATGGTTCTCGGAGTAGCCCTTGGAGCATCTCCCTTGGGAAGCGCCTCGAAGGGCCCAGAAACGGAGGCCCTTCCCTCTCGGTCCAGAGCGGTGGATGGCCAAACCGAGCCCTGGACTTCCTCGCCATGTTTGGCCCAGGAGGGGGCAGCTGGTGGCATCCGGGCCAGAGGGCGCTGGGCAGGAGGGTGAAGCCGCTCTCTCTCTCTTCCAGGGCTGGCCACGACTCTGATGGAGGCCACGGGCGACAAGGATCCCCTCGTCCAGGAGCAGATCTTCAGCGCCCTCTGTGCTTTGGGCCAGGCGGAGCCCGAGGAGGTCTTGAACGCTTGCGAGGAGCACCTGCGGCAGCACGAGAAGGTGGGGCTCCCTCGGAAGGCTGGTGCTGGGGAGACATTCGGCCCGGAGGGGCTGGCAGGCGACGTAGCTCCAGGGAGCCGGTGCCGGGCGCAGGTTGGGGCTGCCTCACCTCTGCCCCCCCCCTCCCTTCTTCCCAGCTGGCCCACCCCCACCGGGTCATTCTCCTGAGGGCCATGGAAGCCGTGGTGAAGAGCAGCCTGGCTCAGCTGGACAAGAGCACGGCCAAGATCGTCATCTTCTTGGCCTCCAGCGAGATGACCAAGTCTAAGGTCAGCCTGGGGGCTGCCTGGGGGGCGGGGCAGGTAGCTGAAGGGCTGGGGGCCGCTTTGGCCTTCCCACCTGGAGGCCCGGAGGGGGAGGGGCAGGGCCTGTCAGGGGGTCCTGGGCCTCTTTTGGGCCTCCTGGCCTGGGTTGCTGCTCCGCTGGGTCGCCTGCTTCCCTGGGGGAGGACAGGGGATGTGAGGGGGAGCTCAGGCCGAGCTGCTGGTCTTGGGCCTAGGAGGCTTTTCCAGAGTGGCAGCAAGCCGCCAGCACCGTCCTGGTCGCCGTGGGGAGGCGTTTCATCAACCAGGTGATGGAGGAGATGCTGACCAAGTTCCAGCCAGGGGTCTTACCCCACTGCTTCGTGGTGCTGACCTTCGCCAACCTCTCGGTGACCAATGGTGGGTGTGCCCTCTTTGCCCTCGGGGGGGGGGGGGACCTGCGGCCGGGGAGGGGGGGCCTTTGGGCCTCTGGTGGGCTCAGCGCTAAAGAAGGGAAGCCAAGAGGCAGCCCGGCCCTCTGCCACCCGCATTGCCAGCTCATCCCGGGGTCCCTCGGCAGAGGGTCCAAAGCTCCTTGGGCATCGTGGCGCAGCTCCTCCTCCAGGCTCTGCCCATGAAGGGACAGGTTGCCCCCGGGGGGGAATGGACAGTTTGAGGCCCAGTCCTCGGTTGTTGTTTTTTGCATTTTCAGTGATTTAGAGGGATCTGAGCCTCTTAAAATGCCTGCTGGGAGCTCCCTGGAGGTTTGAGGAGGGAGGGGTGTAGAAACGATTGGAAATGAATTTAACCAAAAAAACAAAAACAAAAAAGCATTTTGGAGAAGACTCACACGATGGGAGACGCCTCAGCTCCATAAAAGTCCCGTGAAGGGACTGAGCTTTAGATGCCGTTCTTTGTATCCCTTCAAGCTGTCGGTTCAAATGATGCTCCGTCTGTAGAACGCCTGAAGGCCACGGGGGGGGGGGGGGGGGGTGGGGGGGGGGGGGGGGGGGGGGGGGGGCCGCGGGGGGGGGGAGCGGCCGTTCCTGGGGGTGGGCGCCCCCTGGGGGGGGGGGGTGCTTCGGTTTGAACCCTCTCCATCTCCCCCCTCCCCCTCCCAGTGTTCGGGATGGTCCCCTTCCTCAACTCCATCCTGGGGACGATGCTGCCCATGCTGCCCCTGGCCAGGCAGGACAACGCGAAGTCCGTCTTCTGCTACGGTAAGAAAGGCATTTAATAACGGCGGCTAGGATTGTCTCTGCGCAAAACTGGAAAAATGGTATTATACCGTCTGGGGAAAGTGTGATAAAGAAAGTATTAGGGTTTGCCGAGATGGATAGGCTGACCGTGGAAATAAAAGAGAGAGGAGAAACCGAAGATATTTGATTCGGAACGCACGGCATCATCGGTGAAGTAGTAGATATAAAGATATTACAGAGGAACAATATGTATATAAAGGAGAGTGTGTGTGTGTGTGTGTGTGTGTGTGTGTGTGTGTGATTAAAATGCATGTAGAGCATGTGTATACCCATACCAAAAGGTTGCAAAGAATGAAAATGGCGTTATAAAATGAGGAAAAATGTTTAATAAAAATAACATTAAAAAAAAGAAGAAAGAGAGAAAGGCAGCCGGGTCTCCTCGCTGGATGTGGGGCTTCAGCCCCCTTGGCGGGGCTGCCTGGGCCCAGCAGTGGCGCAGAGCAGCGGAGGGCGGCCAGGTCTCCCCATTGGTCAGCATTCGGGTCCCACCTTCCTTCGCGCTTATGCGCCAAACAGTCGAGGAAGCCCATTTGACCTGTTCGATCTTTCGTGCTTTCCCTCCCCATTTTCTGCCTCTTTCGCTTGTCCCAAACTAGTAAAACTGGCTGCCCACCGGACAGAACCGCTTTTTTTTTGGGGGGGGGAAACTCCCATTTGGGACTTCCTGGGCTCTGGAGGGTCGTGGAAAGGGCTTTTAGCCCAACAGCCGCACCCCAAATCATCTGGGGGGAGGCCGGAACACCCCAAGGCTTCTGGGTCGGGGGTGTGTGATTCTGGCCGCTGCCCTCTGGGCTCTTTTGGGCTCTTCTGCTGAGGGGCCCCTGCAGAGAACCCCCCCTCTTCTCTCCCTGGGGGGGGAGTGTCCTCCTTCCTTGCCCCTCCCCCCTCCCCTCTGGACTCTGGGAGGAGGGCAGGAAAGGACCCCAAGTGTGGAGGGTGGAGGGTTGAGGGAACGAGGCCCGGGGAGCCCCCTGGGCAGAAGCTTGGGAACCACGAGAGCCGCCTGCTGATCCTCGGAGGGCTGCCCCAGAGATGAGGGGGTCGGCCTCTCCCCCAAAGCCCTCCAGGGCAGGGCAAGAGGCCCCAGGTGGGAGCTGGGGGTGCTTAAGAAGAGGTCGCACAGCCCCTGGACTGGGATGGCAGAGCGTCGGGGGGGGTGGACTAGGAGACCTCCAGGGCCCCTTCCAGCCCTAGGAGCCCGCCGTATCATCCCTTGCGCAGCCTTGCAGTACTTCAGTGAGAGCATCCTGGAGTACCTGGCCAACCTGGACAAGGCGCCCGACCCGACGGTGAGGCGAGACACCTTCTCCAGCGAGGTCTTCAGTGCCTACGAAGTCCTCTTCAACTGCTGGCTGCCGAGCAGGGAGGCCAAGGTGCGAAGGGGGGGGGGGAGAGGCGGGGGGGGGGGGGGGGGCGGGCGGGCGGGGGGGGGGGGGGGCGCATCCCGGAGAGGAGCCGCTGGGGGTGACCGTCCCTCCTGCCCCCCCAGGTGAGGCTGGCCGTGGTGGAGGCCCTGGGGCCCATGAGCCACCTGATGCCCAGTGAGAAGCTGGAGGAGCAGCTGCCGCGCCTGATCCCGGGCATCCTGGCCCTCTACCGGAAGCCGGCAGAGGCCTACTACATATCCAAGGTGGGCTGGTGGGCAGGGTGACCCCCGGACGAGGAAGGGCCTGAGTGGGGGGGGGGGGGGGGAGTCCTCAGCCCTTGAAGGGCGCATCTCCCTTGGCCCTTCATGTGCCCCACGGCCCTCGCAGTATTGACCGCCTGGCCTCCGGTCCCTGGCCGGAGTTTGGGGGCTGCGGTGCGGAGCGGGCAAAGGCCGGTTTTCAGGACCGCGAGTGGAAGGGAGGGGGCTACCTGTGGGTTCCCCCCTTCACCTGGGGTGGGGTGGGGGAGGCGCCCTCCATGGGCCCGGAGAGGACAGCCGTGTCCTCCAGCACCTTCACGGCGTTGGCAGAGGTTCTCTCCTTGGGACCCTCCCCAGGCAGTCCTCGACTTACGGCAGTTCCTTTAGCCACCGTTCACAGCGTTGCAGCAGCCCTGAAAGACCGGACCGTTTCCCACACCCCTGTGGTCCTGCCCCCCAAATCCGGGCGCTTGGCACTCGGCATGGGATTCAGACGGCCGGTTCCGACCACGGGGAAGCCAGTGTCACTAACTGAACAAGTGCAGTGATTCGCTTAACGGCCGTGGCCAGAAAGGTCGTAGATCTGGGCCAAGTGGCTCCCTTGAGCCCCGTCTCACTTGCCGACAGACCTGGCCAGGCTCCCTTGTGGCTGCCAAGGCCCGGAGGCTCCACCCGAGGCTTCCGGAGTGGAGCAGGTTTGGCAAGAGGAATCAGGCCCTGAAACCTGCCAGTTTCTGCAGGCTCTGAATCCGGGAAGAGGAAACCGCTGACTTGAGCCACTGACTCGAAGGGGGAGGGGGGGGAGACAGGCAGCTCCAGTGGCCTCGAGGGGGAGCTCTCACCTCGCAATCAGGAGGCTGTGAGTTCGATCCTAGGCAGAGGCTCCTCTTTGGAATAGGCTCTCCTGCTCGAGCAGGGGGTTGGACTAGATGACCCCCGAAGCCCCTTCCAACTCTGTTGTTCTATGAATCTCCCCCCTCCCCCAGGGCAGCTGATGAGGTGGGCTCAGGTGGGCGTGGAAGGACCCAGTCAGCTGCTCCTTCAAGGGAGGGGGGGTGGTAACTCTCCTCCCCCTTGGACAGAGCCTGTGCCAGATCCTGGAAGCCTCGGTCAATATCGGGAGCCGGACTCTGGACACGCAGCTGGACGTCCTCCTTGGGACCCTCCACCTCCAGGTAAGCGGGGAGGGGTCTGGCCAGAGGAGCCGCCCTGCCTGGGCCTCCGGCCACGTGGCTGAGGCGGCACCCAGCGTGGCGGGACAGGCTCCTGCCCCGTGCCTAGGGGCGCCCTGGGGGGGGCAGCGGGGGGGGGGTCCCAGCAGGACGACAGGCAGGAGCTTCTCGCTTGGAGCCGCCCTTCGCCAGCGCTCTTCTCCCCCCCCCACCCCAAGCAGCTCTGCGCCCCCCTGGACTCGTACCAGTCCACCTCCCTGAAGAACCACAACGAGGTTCTCCGCTGCTTCACCGTCTTAGGTGAGTGGAGCTTCCGGGGGGGGGAGGGGGGAGATGGGACGGACGGACGGGGGTCCTCAGGCTGGCAGCCCCGTTGACCTTCGGTCTCTTGCAGCTGCTTCGTTCCCTGACCGCTTGCTCGGATTTCTGCTCCCAAAGTTGGAGTCCAGCAACGAGAAGACGCGCCTGGGCACCCTGACGGTCCTGCGCCAGGTCATCAACAGCGCCCGTAAGTGGGGGAGGGCAGCAGGGCAGGGCACTGCGCAGGGCGGGAGGTGTGTGTCTCTGCCTTCAAGGGGGCAGGGGGAGGGGAAAGGCAGGATGAGGGAGGGGCGGCTTCCGGGAGGTGTCAAACCTGCAAGCCCAGCCCCCTGCCCCCCCCGCCCCCAGAGTCCCCCTCCCCCGTCCCTTGGTTGCCAGTGGGTGACGGGCCTCCTGCCCTCCTGTGCCTGGCAGAGGATCTGGCCTCCTCTGGCACCAGGGGGGCTTTGCTGGCGGGGGAGGGTCCCCGGGGCACTGGGAGGGGGGGCAGGAGGGAGGGGCAAAGGTGGCTCTGTTCTTGGGGACCCGTGATGGGCCCTTGGGGGGCACGTGGGGGGGCAGGAGGCGGCCTGTCCTTGAGCCTCTGCTCCGCTTCTGCCCAGCCGCTCAGATGGAGATGAAGAAGCCGTTTCTCCTGTCCTCCATGAAGCTCCCCCTGCAGGACCACAGCAATAAGGTCAGCGACGAGGATGAGGATGAGGATGATGACGCGACCAATAACGCAGAGCCCCCCCCCCCCCCCCCCCCCCCCCCCCCCCCCCCCCCCCCCCCCC